TGATGTTTTGGGGAGCCATCCTCCCCAGCCCCAGGGGAATGGGAGGTGAATAACTTCTATGCAGGGGGCTGCAGAGAAGCAGGATCCTCAGAGAAGAGCCGACTTTTAGTTCTAGCAAGGAAGTTGAGTTGTCTACAAATAGTAGGGCTATCTGCCAGTGGAGTTCTGGGGCACACAGATAAGAGAGGCGTAGGGGATCAAGAGGCTGCGAAAAATCAGGACCACTTTTCAGAGCAACCAACCAATATAAAGGGATTCGAGTAAAAGATGTTGAGAGGTTTGGGGGGGTGCCCTCAATTTGTACCAGATGATTTGTATCTCTGGGGTCTAGGAGATGCTTGATAAATGTTTGTGAAATCATTTATTTCTGCTACTTTTTCACTCCATCCTATTAATAAATGGTTGTTTATAACCTTAGTATCACATTTAATTCTACCGGACTTCCTTCTGGTTTTGATGAGCCATTTCTTTCATTTACTTAAGAAAGGTTTGTGGCATGTTCCTGTACGTCAACACTAGTTCATTTTTAGGGCAAAGATTTGGTGACTATTCGTGAGCCTTTGTAAAAAGAAGGCATATATAGGTGGACATACGATGTTGGCGTATATCATCTTGCCATGTGGTTGGGCATAACCATCTTTTCTTCTGTTATTACTCCAGACCGTGAGTAATCGTGTTCTGTGTAGTATATCCTTCTCTCCTGCCCAAGTTAAGGGAGATCCTGTGTGATGACTTCTGTGTTGCCAGACTCTGTATATATTATATAAATTCTTTATGTAAGGGAAAGTGATCTGGCAGAGTCTTGAAATTTAGTGAAGAGTAGAATTCAGCCTGCAATCTTTTTTAGACCTTGTCCAAGGAGTATAGTTATTAAATGCTCAAAAGGATTCCAGTTAGGTTGTTGTACCTGTAAGGTAGCCACATTGCATGGATCCCTGTTAGTAAGATTTCTTTTTTGTTTCTTTTTTCTAAAAAGATCCAGCCTCTTGGAGTTGAGTGTAAGTAAAGACATAGATAGTTTTGGAAAGAAATCAGGAAAGTGCGCAGGTTTCCCCAGAATCATGCTTCTTTATTGCCCGTTGCTCCTGGGAGCTTCCTTTTCCTGGCATTTATACGTGGAGAAGACATTGACTAATTAGAACTGGAAAGAAGAATGGAGGTCAACCCACGCTTCAAATCTCATCTCTTACGTACTTCCCACCATTTGTTTTTTAATCAAAGAGCTTAGGCTCCACTGCGACAGACAGAAGCAGCCCACTTTTTCTGAGAAGGACACGTATGACTTTCAGAGGCAGGAGGTACTCTCTTAACATCTTGGTAACTGGAAGACCTGCATTCCTCCCAGTCTGCTTCTGTGGACCCCTGGGGTGGAGCACAGTCTAGTTCAGACTCCATTTTACGATTCTGGAAGCTGAGGTCTGAGAATAGCAGGTGACTTGTCTCATATCGAGTAGCAAGTTCGTACAGTTAAGAGGCGAGCCCAGGTCTCGGGAGCGCCAGCCCAGGCCTGTCCACTGAGCCTCCCCAGCGTCTGCCGCCTGAGCTGCTGCTGGCTCGCCCTCCTTGCCTGCACTCAGCACCCACTCCCTCTCCATTTGTGTGGGTTGACTCCGCTTTTTCTGTCATCCCTCCTTTCAGTCTTCAGGTCTGCTCTCCGGCCCTCTGCTCCATCTGTCCCGCACATACCAGGAAACGCACCCCCTCTCTGCCAGAGCCCATCATGACCTGCATGTAGAATCAGGCTCAGGGCCATCCCCCATTTTCACGGCTGCTCCCAACGTCTTTGGCTGAAGGAAGGACAGTCAGTTCCCCCAGAGACCGTTCGAACACGTCCATTGTCCTCTAGGGACGCCCATCGGCCTCCCCTGCGAAGCTTCTCCCATCTCGCTTCTCTGACCTTTCGCACAGTCGCTCAGCTTTCCTCTCCTCAACTGCTCCAGTTATGGCCGTTTCCTCTTCTCTGTCCTTTAAAACGTCTTCGCAGTCAGGTCAGCTGTGAGGTCTCTTCTGAGTGAAGCAGTCAGATGTGCTGTGGCCTCTGCTGTCCTCCTTCAGAGCCCCCGTTTCTGCCTCCTTGGGACCCCAGGTCCTGTTTTGTTGTCGTTGTGTGTTTGTTTTTTGTTTTGACTTTGGAAGAACTATTTCCAAACATCGTAGGGGCAGCCCACAACCAGAACCTCCCTTTATGCTTTTACCTTCTTTCCTCGACTTGGGGTTCTCATCCCCCCACATGAAAATAAAAAGTAAGCTCAACTCAAGTTGTAGTTTCAGTTTGTAATTTTCAGAGGTATAAGTTGTAGGACTCTGAAACTAAGGTCCATGACAAAGCAGACTTGCTCTTAGAAAGTTCCAGAATACTTGTGACTTTTTGTTTCCCCTAAAGACAGCACTTTATCATAGAATTCTATCTCCAGTGCAGAGGTGGAACCTTTGAAAAGCAAGTCTCCCTTCTGCTCTGATGTGTCAGGGTTCATGTGAGACGTAAGCTGGCACCGACTCGGGAACCCAGCAGGGTGCCTGCCTCTGCCTGGCCTGGCTGCTGCAGCTCTTGCCAGGGAGCCGCGAGGGAGGGTAGTGGCAGCCACCAGCCAGTGCCAGCTAAGATCAGTGTGCTGCAGCCTTTCATGCATGTGCGGCTTCCCTGATCTAGAAGGTCAAGGATAAAGAAAAACCCCACAGGAAGGAAGCTGCTTCTTACCCAAACTGTGCTGTTAACTAGCCAGCAAAGTGTATGTTTGGATGCTGAAACTAACACCCCTTCTGCCTTAGATTCATCTTTCAGAATTCCTCTGGGACCTCTTCCAGACACACCCTGTTCCATAGACATCTTGAGAAAGTTGTACATTTTGCTGGCTCTGCATTATTTAAATCGTGCTTGGTCATTCATTCTCGTAAAATCTGGAAGCTGATTTATTGTTTTTATATTGTAATTTTCACAGGTGTTAGAAGTAAAAAGAGTTTATTACAAATTAAAATATTTCTCCTCTTAAGCATATGCCAACACTTAGCAGTATTGTAAATTTGTAAGTCTGTGTTATTTCTGTGTTCACTTGTGTTAGATATTAAAGACAGAATTAATATTTCTATTATCATTTTAAAAACTGAAGATAGGGGGCCGGCCCGGTGGCGCAGCGGTTAAGTGTGCACGTTCTGCTTCGGCGGCCTGGGGTTCACAGGTTCGGATCCCTGGTGCAGACATGGCAATGTTTGGCATGCCATGCTGTGGTAGGCGTCTCACATAGAAAGTAGAGGAAGATGGGCAACGCATGTTAGCTCAGGGCCAGTCTTCCTCAGCAAAAAGAGGAGGATTGGCTGCAGATGTTAGCTCAGGGCTATCTTCCTCAAAAAATAAAAATAATAAAATAAAATAAAAACTTAAAAAAAATTGAAGATAGTTATTTCAAAGCAGTGTATAAAAGTTCCCTTATTTTCAGTAATGTATTCGTATATTAATTGAGTAAATATCTAACTAGACAGTACAAAATATCTAGATTCATTGTACCGTTACCAGTGCTGCAGAGAAAACTGTCTGATACGATGCTAAGTGCATTAAAACATCATTATATTAAATGTGCTATATTTATTTGCAAGGCCTATTCTTTTCCTAAGACATACTTTCTGTGGGCCTTTTCTTTTTCCCTGTAGTTCAAATTTCAAGCATTTAGTAGAGTGACTGTATGAGTGTGTATCCATATCCTGGCATAAGACTTTTATTTTTAATACCCAGGTTAAAAAAAAAATCCACTTCTCTTAGTCTTTGTGAAGATACTCGCTGGTGCACAATTTAAGAAATAGAATGTTTGAAAGAGCTCCTAATGGATATCGGCATCCTCTAATGTTATTATTTATAGAAAATATTTTACATCTGTGTAATTTTAGAGTCGTCTTTAAGGAGTATTTATTAAGTACCTCCAGGGCAGTACAGAGATACCTTAGGTCAAAAAAAAGAAAAAATCTCCTGAGGGAAAAAGAATCTTAAAAAAGAAGTCAGTTGAAAAGTTCTAGAGGTCTGTAGCACAACAATGTGAATGTCCTTCACTGATGCTTACAATTGATTAAGATGGTAAATTTTACCTTATGTGTTTTTTACCACAATTAAAAAATAAGAACTGAGTTTAGGTGACGTAGGGTTTGAAGTAACCTGTTCTATTTTGCACTTGGCTACAAAGTGGAGATGATGGTGATTTGGTCCAGGCAGGTCCGGGGTTGGGGTGGTCAGGATGAGGAAGGGGGCTGAGGGCAAGGGGGGTGCCGCACTTCCCCCTTCTGGTATCGTGCAGCCAGTACCTGGAGTGGGCAGGGACCCCTCAGCGTCACTGGGCTAAGGCAGTTCCAGAGGCGTCTACCTGTGATTTGGGGACCGAGAAAAACAGAGCCCTCCTCCCTTGCCCTAAGTGTCTCTCTGCCCCTTCACTGTCATCTCTGAAGGTGCTATCTCTACCAATAGCGTCGTTCGTACTGGAGTGCGTCTTCTGCTAATGGTGCTGCTGCTGTGCCAACAGCCTATCATCAAAAAGCTCTCCACCCCAGTGAATGCCACACATTCTTCCTGGTACCTGCCCCTGACTGCCGAGGGGTCGGAGAGCTGCCCCACTGGCCTCCGTGTCCAGCACACTTGAGTGGCTATGGCAGATCCACGCAGAGGATGTTGGTTTTGTGGTCTCGTCCTTGGTCTTCCACCTCAGCCTGTTCCCTCACTGAGAAGACACTTCCAGAGAGGGAATTTAGAGTTCCAGATGAAACCCACTCAGGAAACCTTTCATATCATAAGAGAATTTGGCCAGAGTTTAAAATGAGATGTACCAGGAAGATGGTCAGTTTCTTCAGACCATACCCAGTTTTCTTGCCTTTAATTTTTATGGATTACTTAAATTTCTAGAAGCCTGCTTCTGGAATCAGTAATCTTTCCCATTTCCGAACAAGGGGTGGGTTTTTTTTTGGTGGTGGATTATTTTTTCTTTTGCTAATTTGCGTGATATCTTCCACCCTGTTTCCATTAGGAGATGAAAGCATGGAAATTAAAAAGCAAATTACAGGAATGAGAAGATTACTGAATGACAGCACTGGAAGGATTTATCAGCGTGTGGGCAAGGAAGGAGAAAAGTTAAAAGAAGAACCCCAGGATTTGGATTCCATCTGGCCTCAGCGTTTGAACTCCTCTGCTGAGGCCCCCCAGAACCTCAACCCTTGTTCACGTGGTGCATGGAACGAGTTATCACCCCAAAGCGGGCAGTTCTCAGGGCAGTATGGCACCCGTTCCAGAACCTTCCAGAGTCAGCCCCACACTGCTGGGAGCTCCAACGGTATGGTCATTGTCAGACATTCAGAATCCTTTCAAGGGGGTTGTCCGAATGTGTTTCATTTCTAAATATTCATTATGTTCTTTGAGTTCAATATATTAAACCCTTCCTTAATCACCTGCCTTAGCTGAGTTATTTTAAAAAGGAAGTTGAAGAGTATAAAAAGCCAGAGCTGAGAATCAGGAAAGACTGGGGGTTCTGTATTGGAAGTGATGATTTCTTTGCAGAGATTTTAGCCCTTTAAGAAGTTAAAGCTATCACTGGGAAATTATTGTCACAAAAGACTGAACATTAGGGAAGAAAGAGCTCCCCTTTGTCATTAAAGGAGGCTTCCTGGTCATGTGGTGTGTTATTAGTGCATCCTCTTGCTTACTTCTTGGCTTTTCTTCGTTATCGGAAGTCCTAGTTAAGGGGAAGACTGATGACCCCGCCTCCCGAGTGGCCCCTGCCCTTGGACCTCACATTCAAGCTGCTGAACCAAATGATCCGTATTTTATAACTTGCTTCATTAGGGTTGAAAATTATTCCTTTAAAGTAAAATTTCCTTAATTTGAATTCCTAATTGTTAAGAAAAAAATCGAATGGCAAATTTTTTTTCAAAGCGTAAGGAAAAAATTGGTGACTTTTCCAATCATGTAAATTCTCCATCCAGTGACATTGCATGTTACTTGTTCTATAAATTATGGATAGATGTGCAGATCTGTAGTTTTCACGAAAGAGAGCAAGAGAAAACTAAGAATGCATTTTCAGTTTCCTTGAGAAGTTAACGATTTTGTTTCCTGTTCATCAATCTTCAGGAAAAAGAGAACTGTTTTGATTTTCTTTTTAAACCACAATTTGCAGTAACCAGTTCATAGGCGTGAAAAGGCATCCTGAGCCACTGCAGATGAGACAGCGAGGGACCCCGAGAGATGGACGGGTGTCTTCTCTGTCTCTCAATATTACATAAGCCAGGATCAGATTCTCATGCTGGCGTGCTGCCAGGTTAGAGGGAGATGGCTCTTTAAAGACTCCTCCATAAAAATAAAAAGTCAGTTCTCTTTAAAATTAGAAAATGATTTATAACAAGCTGAAAAGGGTTGGTTTTGTCCTCTAAAAATGATAAAGACAGACTTAGGATAGTGACTAGGAATATTCTGTAAGGCCCTCCTAATTCTACTGCCATGGAAGAAGTGACAAAGAGAAATAAAATGCCCTTAGGTTTGTCTGAAGTTAGTAACCCCACATCAATAAGTTTTGGGTACACCGTGTTCCATTTTCCAGTATACAACAAGAATGGGAGATTTAGTTTGGAAAATATTATCAATGTTATTAGTGTTATAAGTTATAAACATAAATTCCTCCCTATTTCTTTAAAAATAGATCTTTTTATGTTTATGGTTTGCATATTTTCAGTAGAAATGCATTCTGTATAACCGTGACTACTTTGGTATTTCATTGGAATTATTTGCAGTTTTAAAGTTGTGACATCTCGGTTTTGTTACAACTTTGAATGGAAATAATTGTGTTACTCCAAACATTAAGTTATCTTTAAGTCTTTCATGGCTTTACTGTGGTCAGTTTTTCTATGGTATCCCCAAGTGATGCACATTGTAGGATTTAAATTATATTTAATGTATAATAAAAGATGTAATTGGACTAAAACTTACCTTTTCCACCTCTGAAAAAACATAAGTGGTAGCAGTCTCTTAGACTGGTCCTCTTTATAGTGGTCAGTTGGATACTGATGTTAGCAGGAACTCCAGTGAAAGAATGATTTTCCAAATGTTCTATTTTATTCCAAGGACAATAAGGAGATACTTCTTTACATATAAGAAAAACAGAATGAGATTGTTTTATTAAGGAAAAAATACATTAAATTTAAACAGTAAAAAAGAGACTAAAATGAAATGTGAGAAATGGGAATGGAAAAAAGATGGAGGAACATCTTAAGTTGGAGAAAAGCCAGCATGCCAGCACCACCCTCTGACCCATCCAGTTCAGATATATACTTCCATCCCTGCTCCCCCTACTTTTCCCACCCCAAGGCACCGCACCCCGAGAGCGTTCTAAACGTTTAATGTGTTGGCAGTTTTTAATTTTTGAAATAACATGCTTACTACTAGAACTGTTTTTTAGTAGTTAGACACATTTAATTCTTAATATGAATTCATAACACACACGGCTACCAGTTTCTTTGTAAGGCTGTTCTCAGAGCTAGTTTTTCTGTGCAAAATAGCATGTGTGTGTTTCTAGTGAATTTTTATAGTGTTGTTATCTGAGATGACCTGGTGTGACAGTAGGGAGGCCTGCTGTGACCCTGCATTGTGTGCGTGCGTTCAGGCAGGCTCCACCACCCTGTGAAGCAGCGCACGCCTTACGGTATAGAAGCCTGGATAATTAGATAAAGTCAGACCCCCAAATTTAGGTTGTGAAAATTATAGGTACGTTTTCCATAGGCATGGTTTCATAGTGATTGCACGTGCTTCAAAATACCGTCAAGATCGCTTCTTTTTTCCCCTCTTTCTGATTTTGTTGTTGCGCGGAGTCTGTCATGCTTTTCTTTCGTGCTCAGGAGAACTTCCCGTGGTGACTGCGTCAGCTGGCTCCACCTGCTGCACTTGTAACTGCCAGTCCACGTTGCAGGCCATTCTCCAAGAACTCAAGACCATGCGGAAATTAATGCAAATTCAAGCAGGTACAAAGATGAGGCCTTGCCTCGAGTCCTCTGATTCTGAATGCCATCTGACGCCTTCAGTTTATCGTGCTTGTGTTGTTTAGTTCCTCCCACCGTGCTGCCTTGCTGTGCTTTTGCAAGTATCCATCTTCTCAGCTTTTTCTCCAACCCATTTTTCCTTCAGCAAATCTAACAAATTTTTTATTGCTAATGATACTACTCATATACTTATGTACCTGGGCTCCATATGCTTCACCCTCTGACGTCCTAGGACCTCACAAATGTCAGTTACTTAAATTTTGAAACAATTATACCTGAAGGTGGGCAGAGTTCTTCAGCTCATTCTCCTAAAGTGAATCAACAAAGAGGTTCATGTCAGGAAAGAAAATGAGGATGACTCATCTTGCCTCCTGAGGTGCTCAGTTTGGGGGCTGCTTGTGTCTCAACAACCCCCACTCCTGCACAAGTCCCTGTGGGGGGCGGTGTGACAGTAGGGCAGCCACGCGTTATTTTTTGCGTGGAGGAGCCATTCAGGAGGTAGGGGCTCCGCTGGTGAAGATATTCAAGAGCCTAAGAGGACAAGAAGTGGTGGACCTCAGGCTCTGCTTGTGGCTTTTCTCCCTCACATTCAGGGCACAGAAGCTCAAAGACACCTCACGTTTTGTCTTCTTTATCTACGTGACACCTTTTTTGTTCTCACTCCTGTTAGACAATTGGAGAACAGAAGAGCAGTGCATTTGCAGTTTGGGGTCAGAGTCCCAGTTCCTCCTCCTACAGCCGTATGACTTCTCTCAGCCTCAGATTTCTCATCTGTAACTGGAGTCTTAATATCTAACTCTTAGGGTTGAGATAGTAAATGTAAATGAGCTCCGTAAAGCATGATACGAAAATAAGCTATTTCCCTAGTGTTATAAAGACCAAGAGAGTTTCATGGAAGTCTGAAGTCTAGGTCTTCATTATAGTGGCTGTGTTTTCTAATCTCTACAATTAGGGAAAAAAACCCAGAACTTCTTTTGTCACAGGCACAGAAAATAATAAATCATTTTATTAAGCGTCTCTTGTCAGGCAAAACTGCCGCTTGAGCAGGAAAATAGCACAGTCGTGGATGAGCAGCATTCCCACCCTTCATCGCAAAGGTACTCAGGAAGGTCATCATTCAGAAGTTGTCCTTGGCGCCATTTCGTGAATTCTAGTAAAATTGTAGTATTCGGTGATGTGGTTTTGATATAAAAAGCTTAATACTTAGACGTATCAGTCACCCACAATCATATGAAAGTAAGGTGAGCCAGACTTTCTGAAAAGCAACATCTAATTTTTTTGGTCCTGAATTTGGTTTTATCCCAAGGAAAAAAAAATAAACGTTTTGGTCAGGCCAGTAAGCATTTAACTTACCTTGAAAATCTGTGTTCTTATTAACCTAGCAGAGATTAAAGTCTCCTAAATCAGGAGCTCAGAGAGAAAGGTTACTTCATTACGTACGGATTCTTTTCTCGGAGGAAGAATTTGTTAGCACTTAGGAAAATATGCATATGAAATTGTAATGATTTATTTTGTTACTTAAGCTCCTTACTATCGAAATGGCAAACTACAAATCGCAGCCACTTAAATCCTTGACTGCAGCCTTTTTTAGAATCTATTAAGTAAATACCACTTTGTGACCATGTTTTCTTTTCCGAACCTTTGCAGATTCGGGTGGTGAATGATTCCAAAGCTATAGGAGAGCAGAAAGGATAAACTGAATGAATTACTCTTCTTTAATTTTCTTAAACTTAAGAATTTGCATTGTGTGGGTAGATTTACTGAAGGTTTATTGCCTATAAAACTTAGATTTAACCTATATTTAGAAAGTTTCACCTTTGCTTTAGGGAGAAGACAAAGAATAAGATCAAGCAGTAAGATCTGGGTGCCGGAGACTATGGCTGTGTCCAGACTTGCAAAAAGAGAGGAAAATCAGATAGTCCCTGTGTTCTTTAAACCAAAAACATTTCCACCTTTAATTTAGAATAATGAGGTGTGGAGAGGCTTGGGTTCTAGATTATCTTGATAATTGTTTCCGTTGTCCATTAGGCTTTGGGGCTGGAGACCTAGCCTTGGGTGCAAATTCGGATAGAACAGAGCAGAGTTCTCCACTCCGGCTGGCGCGTTGCAATCACTTGAGGAGCTTTAACAAAATCCCCATGCCCGGGGTCCACCCCTGGAACTTCCGATTTCAGTCAGTCTGGGGTGAGGCGGAGCCAGTGACATGCAGCAAAGATCGAGACCCAGTGAGCTAGACTAATGACTGCACAGGTGCTTACAGACTTCTCAGGATCACATGCAGTGTATGGAGTTTGTTTCTAATGTTTCTTATTTATAAGTTTCTTTTCCTTCTGGAGATGCAAATATCAAGTTCAAAGTATAAATATTCTTTATTTGCAAACTGACTGGAAATGGTCCATATTTACGTGCATTTAAAGCTCTTTAGTTTTCATTTGGCTTATATTTATAGGTGTCTTTCTGTAAAAAAAGGAGGCATATGCTATGGTCGTATTTAGTGAGCCATATGAACACGTGAAGATGTAAATAATAGTCCAGTATTTTCCAATGAAACTTCATTAGAGTGTTTTTGATTGGTTGACAAGCATGACTTCCCAAAGAGCACCTGTGAAAACTATAATTGCCATCCTTGGTTTCCTTAAGTACAAAGTCAGTTTAAGTCTTTAGTCCTTGTTCAGTGCTTCCATCTTTGGAAGTTAAACTGTTTCTGGCTTTTACTAATTTTCTTGACTTGTGCAGAGCTCTGTTATTCCTATTTTTCAGCTCCGTAGAACTGAGATGTGGAGAAGCAGCCTGGTCTGAACCAGTTCTGTAGGGCCCTGGAGATGGCTGATGTGTGTACAGTATTGGTTTGTGAGGAAGGAGTTACTGGACTGATAAGTGACTGGCAGACTTTGCCCACATGCTTGCTGGTACATGCTTACTAGTCATTCCAGACTGATTCTTTTGATCAGTCTTGCCCAGATCGTCCTTGCCCAATCTTTGTCACTCTTGGCACCTTTGGAGTGCTAGCAACTGATCAGTTTAGCCCCAAATGACAGTTGTAATATTCCTGAGATTGGCTTACCAGAAAGCCTGGACATCTGCACCTCCATTTAAATTCTAGAGTTCTCATTTATATAAAAATGTCATATGATTTGTAAGATCATGTTCAAACGCTTTCTCATAGCTCATAATCCTTTTCTTCCACTGAACCCAGCAGTAGCAGCAGTGTCATGATTCACCAGCATCTGGAGCGGGGCTTTCTCTTGGGTATTCTTCTACCTGTAGGACTTTGAAGTGCTCCAGAGCCTGCGTTTGGTAACCTTCAAGTCCAGTGTGAGATTGATTTTGGTGTGCTTCATCCTTGAGTGAGCCCCACCTCAGTCTCAGTTTGTGGGGCACATAGATAGACGGGGGATAAGTTTCCTGAGTTAGACACAAGTGCCTGTACCATATTTTTGTTTATTGTTCACAGTTGGAACCCAAAACAGACAACAGCCCCCAATTTCCCTTATATGCTCCCAGCGAACTGCTGTCTCACGCAAGAGAAATAAAAAGAAAAAAGTGCCCCCAAAGACTGTTGAACCTCTTACTGTGAAACAGAAGCCCACTGTGTTAGAAACTGAGAAGAAGACAGCAGTGGCCTCTGAGCAGTCTGGTCTCCAGGCGGCCAAGCACACCTCCACTGGGGAGAACCACGTCCTAGGATTTGGCATTGTCCTCGAATCGCCTTCCTCAGATGTAAGTTGATGTTTTCTGGCTGCTGACGCTAATGTGATGTAACTTTCAGGAATTTTATAGCATTAATACGCTTTTCCCTTAACTAGTTCTGCCCAAGAAAACCAGAGAAACTTGCAAAGCACATGTGGGAAAGAGGAAAGGAAGACTATTAATAATTTTCGTTGCCTAGAATTTTCTCTCCTGAAATTCTTATGCCTTATTTATTTAAACCTGTTTCCATTCCTTATCTCTGAAAGAAGGGTGATGATGTAAATAATCTGCTCACTAATTTCTTTAACATTTTTAATTTTGAAGTGGCCGTTTTCAATTTCCTCAGTGTTGAGAGCTAAAAGAACATAATTAAATCCTTTGTAGATAGATGGACATAAATGAAAAGAACCTTACAGATAAGGTCACACCTTTCCAGAAACACAAACTAATAATAAAAAAGAAGCAGTCATGCTAATTCTATTTTATAGATGCAAGCTACACTGCTAATTAGGTTGCAGTGCCATGCCATTTACTCCGAGTAATGATAGGTTAACGCTCCGCAAAGGTTTTTCTATTTTAATATTGTAGCGAGAATGTCGTTGCAGTCCAAGATGTTGGATGACATCTAAGATATCCATCTGACTTGCCGTTTTATATTCCTATGACCACAAACTAATTTCTGTAATAATGTGCTATATTTGCAACTGCGTACTCTGTTTACAATATCTTTATCAAAGGACACGGATGCTGTGAGCTCCAACTTGTTGGGAGAGTTCCTAAAATACACAAGAGTGAGTGATCTGTTATTATCCGATTGCATACGATGAGAATCCTGCTGCGAACTCCTACAGGCCTATATGGGATGGGAGTTTGGCCCTACCCTTTAAACTTTAAATAAGAAATAAATTGCTATTTTAAGAAAGCATTCCCTTTTAAATTGCAGAAAGACAGTTTGCTAGCGTGGGTCCACATTGGCTCTCTTATAAAGGGAGGTGACAAAAATAATCATCTTGTGACTTTTTTAGACTGGAAAATTCTTTGAACTTTTATCCAGTCCTCAGTGTTGAAGGGTTTTGTTGGTTTTTTTTTTTTCATCTATGAACACATGCTACAATTGTTGAGAAGTTCTTCTAAACTAAAAAAGTTTTTTTCAAATTTTTTTTTATTGAGGTTGTGATAGTTTACAACCTTGTGAAATTTCGCTTGTACATTATTATTGGTCAGTCATATTGTAGGTGCACCTCTTCACCCTTTGTGCCCACCCCCACGCCCCTTTCTGCTGGTGACCATTAATGTGTTCTCTTTGTCCGTGTGTCTTAAAAACTTGATTTTCAAAAAATCATTAGTGATGATAAAATTCTGCCCTGGACCAGTCAGCTGATTTGATGATATCATATTGTTACTGCAACTAAGGCCCAGGTTTCAAAACCCATGTAGGTCTCATATTTGGAAACAGAGGTAAATTATTCCACAGCGCAAAGTACGTGCAATCTGAAGCAGTTTTCTTAATACTTGTATATTTTTCTTGAATTTTCTAAGCACTCTTTTGTAATAGGCATTGGTGTATCAGGAGCAGTCGTTTGAGCTATATAAATCATCTCCTAAATGAGTTGCTCTAATGCTAATAACTGACCTTTCTCCTTTTTTAATTTTTAAGCTGCAAATGTACTTCAGAGATAAACTGAGGAAGGTCTGATAAAGACCTTATGTACATGAGTGGAATAGAATGGAATTTGTGCTTTTACCAATATCAGTATTATAATTTATATACCAAGTAAAAAGAATTTTCTTTTTGTTCCTAATTATTTTTGCTAACAAGAGCTATTAAATTTAATAAAGCGCATTCAGAATGGTCCATGGAAACTCAGGTGCTGATTATCTTTGAAGAATAATGTGCTTCTAAAGAAAAGCAAAAGATGTATGTGGATATTATCTTTACATCTTCCAGCTGATATGCCATTTGATTGATCTACTCAAAAAAACTGTTAACTGCACTTGGGGCCGGCCCCATGGCCGAGGGGTCAGAGTTCTGTGCACTCCACTTCAGCGGCTCAGGTTTGTGGGTTCGGATCCTGGTGGGTATTGACCTACTCCACTCATCAGCCATGCAGTGGAGGCATCCCACATGCAAAGTAGAGGAAGACTGGCACAGATGTTAGCTCAGGGCTGATCTTCCTCAAACGAAAAAAGAGGAGGATTGGTAACAGATGTTAGCTCAGGGCAAATCTTCCTCACAAAAAAAAGAAAAAAAAAATTAAAAAAGGAAACTGTAGCTGCACCTATAGGACCATGCAGTGAGCCCGATCCTTAGACATTTTGCCCACAGATAGTGCTCACTGGCATTAAAGAGGCTGGCCTGTGCACTCCTGGGGTTGAGGGGATCAACTCCCTTAGGTGATGGGACCATCAGTGCTAAGGCCTCCAACTTTAGGTGCCCTTCTAGTCTTTTATTATTTCTTAGCCATGAGCCTTTTAAAATTTGGTGGAAATCCAGAGGAGAAAACAGAAAATATATAATAATCTTGTAGGAATTATTCTGTAAAACCAATTAGAGAAAATATAATATAATTGTGTGTGTGTGTGTATATATATATATATAATATATGTGGATGGGAATTGTGTATTTGAAGATGGACACTGAAAAGTATCCAGAATTGGGAAGATTAGGTCTGAATTACAGGATTGGGCAAGTGGTCAGTGCAGTGTTCCTAGAACAGCTGTATGGCCGGGATTGGTAGCAGATGATGCTACAGAAGTAGGATGGAGCTGGATCATGAAAGCCCTAATATGTCATGCTAAGGCACTTGGACTTCATCTTGTGGGTGCTAGGGAGCCATTGCAAGTTTCAAGAAGAGGGATAATCATAGCTGTGTTTTAGAATGGAAACTGGAACAGCGTTGTGATGATGGGTGGAGAGAAGATACTAGAGACAAAGAAACTAGGAGGAAGATAATTAGTCAGCCAGGCAAGAGATTGGCAGAGTCTGTACATGAGCAGTGAGGCTGAAGAGAAGGAGAAATGAGAGACATTTAGGAGGCACCCACAGAGAAGACTTGGTGCTCAGTAGAAAGTAACCTCCAGATTTCTATCTTGGAAAACTAAGGTTGCTTACGAGGTGGAACTGACTTCTTTAACTGACACAGGGAAAGGCAGAGCAGAAGGAGGGCTTCTTGATGGAAGTACAAGTAAGTTTAGTATCTTCAAAGGGTTCATTAGACATTTGGAGCAAGGAGAAAAATTAGAGCCAGAAGCAATGAAAAAAGGATATGTAAAATCCATGCTTCATTGCTTTTTTAAATGTGAAAAAATTGCTGTAAATTAAAAAAAATTCACAATGTATTGTTATGTTTTTTACACTGTGACTTTTAGAGTCACCCAGATACAGATTTGTATGTCTGTGCAGGAGCTCAGACAGAAGGCCCGTGTGGGGCTGCAGATCTTTGCAGGGGGACTGCCCGTCTCCTGACTGGTAACACTTATCCTGCTCAAATGTGGAAAACAGTGAGCTCTGATCAAAAAACTGCAGAGTCAACACTTCAGGGTGTTGTAAAGACTAAATGACTCGGAGTATGTGGGGAAATCCACTGCAGTGCCTGGCACATGAAAGGTACTCAATAAATATTCTTTAGTCTGCAAATGACAACATGTCTGCATTTGCATTAAGCGCAATATACAAAATAAACTTCTGAAACTTTGGGTCTAGGACTTGTCCTTCATTAGAACTCTCTCCTCAGTTTAACTCCCATTTTCTTGTTCTTTCCTTGTTACTCCTCTGTGCACCACCCCCGCAAACCCCCCAGGGTGCCAGTATCATTTCAACAATTCCCTCCTTCCACCCCAGCTTCCCAAGGGCAGGGACTGTATGATGATAATGATATTTGGTGCTATCCTTTGCAAATAATTTATTGCACTTCATCCTCACTCTTTGAGGTGTTATTATTATCCTCATTTTATAGATGACGAAACCATGGCACAGAGAGCCTAAGTAGCCTGCTCAAGTGGCGCTGGTTCTCGGAGCCACGTCTTCGTGTGCCCTGTCCACTGAGTGAAAGACTCGGGCACCTATCCTAGCACGGTTCTTGTACACAACCAACGCTCAGTGACTGTCCATGAGATGATTGTTACACAGCGGAGAACTGAAAGGTTAGACGATGGCTCTGTCTTCTGTTTACTTGGATATTTTAGGGGAGAACTTCATGGTTAAGTGTGCAGCCTCTGAGGTCAGGCTGCCTGGGCTGGAAGCTCAGCTATGTGACCCCGAGCACCCACACCTACCCTCACCTCCCTCAGTCTTCTCTCCATAAAATGGGGATAATAACAGTGCTGACCTCAAAGTTGGCCCACTGGAAGAGTTAAATGAAGGAATCTGTGTAAAGCACTTAGAATAGCTGGTACGTTTTAAGCACTCAATAAAGATTGGTTCTTTTTTAAGCCTTAGTAGTCCTAGCTAAGTACCTTTATGGGGATAAATATAGATATTTGTTAAGTAAACTTCTGTGTAGTATAAATGAACAAATACACATGAAGAAATAGTGTTTTTAAAAGAAAGTGGCCAGAAATGTTTCTCTCTTGGGGCAGGATTATTTGACCCATTTTAAATTAGCACATTAAATAAAATGGAAACCTAAATTACACAGAAGCAAAAGCAGAAGCTCAAAACCACGTTTCAGATTTAAATACAATATTTAATTCTTTCTTGATGGCTTCACAACCCAGTACGCTGCAGCTGTGAAATGTTTATAGTTACTAGTTTTTTCCTGTTGCATATACTGATTTGTGTTTTTCAGGGCGGACATACATGGCTTAGGTTTGTTTCGTTGGCTTCTTGTTTGGCTTGTTTTTTGGCTTTAGTGAAGCAGTAAGATCAGTTTTTAAAAATATTTTTAAATGTTTTAGAAAAACATAGAAAACGCTTTTATGTTTGTTGTAGTTACTATGAATATTTTCAGTAATCCTAGATTACGCAAAAGTTATTAGAAGATAAATCTATGGACATCCACCAATTTAAGATAATTTTGTTAATGTTTATT